GTGCTTTGCTTGGGGATCCTGGGTAGATGGACTTACTGTAAACACAATGCATATGGGTTTGGGTCCAGACAGGGGACCCCGTTTTTGATGGTTTTCCAAAGGAGCCCAAAAGCAAACCACCTACCAGGAGTCCAGGAGTCCAGGAGGGGTCCCCAATTTTGAGAAAGACAAACACATGCACATGGTTATGAGTTGAACAACGGAGGTTGCACAACTTTTACCAGGGTTACAACTCACAACCCACCTTCAGGGAAACCAACTATCAGAGATACAGGGGGAACCAGGGATACGGGAGGATTCTTGACTAATTTTGATATGGGAAATGGCACCAAGAGAATCCCCCATATCCCCGCTCCCTCCGTATCCCGGCTTGTTTGTTTGTCCAATAGATTGACCATCGAAGTTCCTGACGGAGGGAGGGACGCCTCCGGACTAAAACGAAAGGGCCCGCCCGACCATATGAGGCGGGGACTCACATGTGCCTGCTTTGAAGTGGGATGTGAGGGTGGCGAGTGGGTTGGCAGAGTGACAGCAATTGTTTTGTTCATTTTCATGCAAACCTCAAACACTATGTAAAAACTAAATCATACATGAAACAAGCCAAAAACTTGAAAAGCCAAAGAGGGTTGTCTTTTGATACCCGTTTTGGACATGTTCAGGGTCCCTACAGAGCAACGTTTAACTCCCTTTTTTGTGTGGGGTCCTTAGCGAAATCTCAGAGTCACCGTTTGTCCTTTTGTTTGGCAGGCTTTTCACAAAGCGAAGAGAGATTGCCCATTTTTTCCTCCTTTTGTTCACTGGCAACGCAATGTCCAACCCAAAAAAGAAGTATTCGACAGGTGCTTTCCATCTTTCGGGTTCGGCTGGGAAAAGTGGGTTTGCTTTTTTTCAGGACCCCTACCCCCCGATTCAAAAAACAAACAACAACACAAGAGTGGCTTCCTTTTTTGAACCACATCCAAAAAGGTACCCTCCAATTGGTCAAAAGAATGACCAGCTGACATTTTCTTCTAGGGCTTGATTCCCCATTCTTTTCAACCATCGTTCTGTTGAAAATCCGGCTGTTTCCAACCTGGGTTTCTGATGGTTTCCTGAAAAGAACTTCGGATCCCTGGGTTCAGAATGGACATGGAAGGGACCCCTAGAATTGTTGGCAAAGAAGAAAAGAAACTCGCCACATCCAAAAAGGTTCCCTCCAATCGGTCCAAAGAACGACACGTCCAGGACGTCAACGACATCGGCGAGGGCGAGCCGCTCTACGCCTTCTTCGAGCCGGCGGACTGGGCGCTGCTGCAGCTGCGCTATGAGCTGCACCTGCTGCAGGACGCCTTCAAAAAGGATGCGCCTCGACGGGAGACTTTCGCAGTGGTGAGCCCAACAATTTGTAGGGGTAACTTCCATTTCCATTCTAGGGGTAGCTTATCATGGGCGAGTTTTTTGTTTGGTTTTTGTTTTTTTGCCAAAAATCTAGGGGTAACTTTTCCATTTCCATTCTAGGGGTAACTTATCATGGGCGAGTTTCTTTTCTTCTTTGCCAGAAATCAAGGGGTAGCTTCCATTTCCATTCTTGCCAGAGATCCGGATCTTTCTGGAAACCACCCAACACCCTGGGGAAATGGCTCTGTTTGAAAAGAGCGGTGGCTGAAAACAAGGGTTGGAATCAACCCCCAGAAAAATGGGTCTCCCCGGCTAGCTTTTGGGTGACCACATGAGCTCTGAGAGGTTTTTCTGCCAAAAGCTCATTTAGTAGGGAGAGGGACATTATTGAACATGTGCCCCGCGCCACAGGCGCGGATGCATGAAAGAAAGACTTCGCGGAAGGTTTGCGGAAGCTCGGAGGCTGATGTGAACTTCATTGTTTCAGTTTTGCGTGCGACAAGCACGGAGAAACGATTCTAGAGGCAGAAAGGCGCGGAAGCTTCGCGGAAGCTCGGACGGGCGGCCCCGTGTTTGCAGGCAAGTGTCCACGTAGCACGGGTGGCTTAATGAAGCCCAAGCCAAATGACAGGCGAAACACGACGCAAAATGACGTTCCTCTCTGCGATACTTGCGGAAGCAAATCTGGTAAAACGTGCGGAGCGGAAGGTTTGCGGAAGCAAACAATGAAACACATGCCGCATTCGCCCACCGAACATGCATGAAAATGCGGTATAAGCCTGGGCAAATGATACAATACTGGTTGAACCGCGGTATACCCCAAGAAAGTGGTGCAAGTCTGTGTCGTCGCCCCCCATCGTGACGTCGCCATCAAAAAAGGGTGCGGGGTGGGGAAGGCCTTGGAGAAGGATGGAACTGACTGCCACAAACGCTTGCATTCCCCTCTTCCTTCAACAAAAACACGCATACAAAGAGGACCCAAGCTTAGGACACCATCTCCGGGACTCCAAGATTTCCGTTATCCATGTTTCACCCGTGCATCGCAACAGGTTCATTCTTGATTGGTGTTCTCCTTGTCTACCTGGCATCTCCTTCTGACCCATATTAACCATGCGAGCGTTGGGGTTTAATCCCTACTTGATTGGCCATTCAAGCGTCCGCGGACCCTTCCGCATTCCGCGGGCCGAGACTGGCCCCTTCCGCTTACCTTGGCAAAAAAAATGATGGCCACCGAACACCCATCCGGCGCGCGGCCGAAGAGCCGCCGGTTGCTTTCGTGGGGCCTCGGGCGAGTTCTGATCGAGCTGCGGTGAGGTGAATGACCCGGACCGGACGGTGATCCCCGAGCCGCACTTGTCCTACTACTACAACCGCTACTTCCGGAAGCAGCTGAGCCCCGGGGTGTTCAGCCTCAAGAACAACACGGAGCTCGTGCCCCTCGTCGTTTTTTCTTCTTTTTTTTCAGACCTCCAGGGGGGTGGTTCCAGTTCCCCGCGGGGGGTCCTTAGTCCATGGACATCCACTAGAGGTTTTGGGTTGTTGTTGCTTTTTTTGTTGTTGTTTCGAAGAAGCGACACCAAAGAGGAAACCACCCATTTGACTTGCATCTGTTTGCCATTTGTTATGGAAACGAGCTCCCCATGTAGACCCTGTCTTGGAATAATTCTATATTTTGCAGAGGAATCCATGGAGACAACCCCAAATCTGCGGAGTGCTCGCTCTTGTGCCACAACTTCAGCTCAATGGGCAACTGCTTTCAAGGAGCAATCCGTGGACTCGGTTAGCTTCTGATTCTTTCCTCTGGCTGCAGAAGCCAGAAGCCAAGGCAGATGGTCAAGGACGTGGTTACCATCTCTGGAGAGCCTCCAGTGCTCACGTCTCAGCTCTCTTCAGAAATTGAGGCCGGCTGTAGGCAATTGGCGGTTCTAGTTTCCCTGTACAAAGGGAATAGATGCCACTGCTACAACTTGTTGTTCCTCTTCTTGGATGGGTTTTCGGTGCTTCAATTCAGTTGGGGGTTGCCATTTCCCTTTTTGAGCAAGATTTATTGGGATGGGTTTCCGTTTGCTCAGAGGGTCCAGGTACCTTCTTAGGATCTATTTCCTACTTCAAGGGTCAACAAGACCTCAAGATCTGATTGAGAACCCACATTTCCGTTCTATTTGCTAGGAACATCCTCAGCAGGTACCACCCTTCTCACTCCCAGTCAGTTGTTCTTGTGTCTATGGTGGGTTGTCTTCTTTTTTCGGGGACCCCCCAAAAAAGAAGCACCAAAAAACACGCGGTGGTGCTCGTGTATGGGTTAGCGACCCCCCCAAAACAAAAAACACGGTCGACCCCCAAAAAGGACTTTCCATGTCTAGGTCCCCAGTAGTGCCCTTTTTCTGTTTTTTTTTGGGGAGGGTTCCCCTGCTAAAGTAGACTACAGAAAAAAGAAACGGTACCAACTTATTCTCACATCTCTCCTCTCTACTGGAACCCCAGTTGTGGTTTCTCGGTAGCCGCCCAAGACGGGCGCACGTCGGTACCCGTCGATGGCGGATCGATCGTCATCGGAGGTGGACTCCGCGGAGATCTTCGTGAAGTTCACGGAGGAGGCCCGCCGGGAGCGCAAGCGCCGCGCGGAGGCGCGTGGCGGGGCACTGCATGGGGTGGGGGGCCGCGATGAACGCGGCGGTGGAGTTGTGTTTTTTGGGAAGAGACCTGGGGTTGGCGCTTTTTTTGTCGTTGTTGCTGTGATGTTGGAGTGTTTTGTTTGTTTTGTTTCAAGTTGTCGTTGGTTGTTTTGCGAGGGGGGGGTGCTCTTTCCTTTCCAAGTTTCGCCAAAAGGCCTCAACCCCCAAGACCTTTGCGCTTTTGGGTTTTTGGCTGTCGACTTCCGGCTCAGTCCTTGGACGTGTCAGGCCGGGGACGAGACCTCCATGCTGAAGTACACGCCCCCGGCCGCCCCGCCCCCCCCGCGCCCGGCCAGCGCCGGCGCCGGTGCCGGATGGCAGGCGGCGCCGAAGGCTGCGGCCGGCGGCGGCGGTTGGAACCGCGGGGGCGGATGGAACCGCTGGTGACTCACTTCCTGATATGTCTGGGGTCGTTGTTTTGAGGGTTTCTGGTGGTTCTCCAAGTCAGAAAATGGGGTTGTTTCCCTTGAACCCACGACTTAGGGCTGACTTTGATCATGGTAAAATAATGAGGCCAGTATTTGGGAAGACCTTTGGAGTGGTCAACCAAAAGAGGTCATTCGCATGCGAACCAGAACATGTTGTGTTTTTATTTTGCCAATCCACTCGGGAAGTGAGGATGGTTCCACATAGAGGCGTGGGTAACGATGCAGCCGCACGGGCTGTGAGAGATTGCGCGTGGCGGAAGGGCAGGCGATTGCCCGAAACATTAGCAGCGCGCTCAAAAAGTGGCCGACGCAGTGCTTCTTGTTCCAAATGACAGTGCTTAAACCTCGACCTGGAGCCGCCTTTTGCATCCTTACGAATCAAGCACCCCTGGATTTAAGCCTTCCTTTGGGCAGTAAACACATTGGCTACAGTACTCGTGGCCGGTTTTGGGCGGTTTGCTTTAATCGTCAGATGCCACAAGTGTCCTGATTTCCAGTGCCGTAACCAGATCCACTGCAGGTCTGCCCGCATTCATCGACATGGCCGGCGGACCTACTTGTAGGGGGCAGGGAGTGGCTGCGGCTTGGGTGTTTGGTGTGCGTGACATGCAGCCATCAGGATATCTTACATCTGCTGAACGCAAATTTCAAATGCCACTCGTCCTGCTTGGGCAACTGTTCGCATCTTGTGGAGTACGTTGTCTCAAGGCTGTGTGTGACACTCTCCGAAAGTGTGCAGCAGCATCTATGCGGCGATTGATTGTGAACACCATGAGGGGTGAGGCAAGCCCCGCCCCCCCCGGCCTCCCCCCCGACCCCAAGGCTTGTGAAAACCCCAACCCACAACTCAGCAGCAGCCATCCTTCAGAGGGTGTTTGATCCACGAGATGTGATTTCAGCTTATTTATTTAGTGATTTTAGTGTATGAAGTTTGGATGTGTTTTATATACGCATACAAGCGCCCATGCAACTACAACAGCGCAGTTGTCCAGCTGCACTCTCCCGGTTCTGTTCAGTGGCTTTCTCTTCTCAAACCGTCGGCTTGTCTTGTTCCGAAGTTCGTAAGCACGATCAGGCTCCAAGAGTCGGAGGTAGGGATTGCTGTTTGGGGGGATCATGTGAGTTGGCAGAGTGTTTGTTTGACTTCCTTAAGCCTTTTTTGGTTTTGTTTTGTCTGCCCTTTCAACTAGCAAAGCGTGACAGCTCTTTGCCGGTGGTCGTAATTTTGCAGCAAGTTGTGTGGGATTGGTGCATTCCGCGCAGACACCAGTCACAGGGATGTCCGGGGTTCAACCGACACATGAGACAGGTCTTTTCTAGGGTGATCCCTTGTTGCTCAAGTGGTCAGAGTAGAATGATTGCTTTGTCTTGAACAGGGCCCGCTGCAAAGGTGCCTGTAATGTGTGCACAGGGCCATACCTCTTAGCAGCTTAGCCACCGTCAGATTTGTGTCCACTGAGTTGCCGGTGCCAAAAAAATTCGCCGAGGTGGTGCGAAACATCCCTACTCCCAAGGAGCGTGGGGTTGGGGGCGAGCGGGTTTGGCATAAACGTGCTGCATGGGTCGTTGAGTTGTTCCCAGGTTCCCAGGGAGTGAGTAATCGCTTTCATCTTTTCCAGAACCCATAATTTAGCACCCAGATGAGAAGAAGGGACCAAATCGCTGTGTTGGCTATTTTTCAAGGAGCCCACCCAACAGGACAAGCAAGCAAACAAGCCACACACATTACCCGCCAACCACACAGCGTACACACAAGCAACCAGCCAGCCAACCAATGCACCGGCCCTTCCTACAATCTGTCCCATCCAAACCAACCAAGCAAGTTAGCAAGCAAAACCATCCAGCCAGCCCGAAGCAAGTCAAGAAGCCAACACAAGCGCATGTCACATCAGCTCCTAGTCTTTGCCTGGTGCTTGCAGACATCCCAGCCACATTGGTACCTGCTCCAACGGTTGGTCAAGGCCTTGAACCATTTGGGACTCTGTTTCTTTAGGAATCGGACCCGCAAAGTGATCAGCCGTCCCTTTTATACCACCCCAAGTTTCAGATCCATTTGTGGCCCAGCTGGCCAGATGTGTTTTGGGAAGCCGTCGGGTCTTTGCCCGTGTTCAAGCCACACCTCCAGTGACGGGGCAAGCCGAGCCACACGGGTCACTAGGAGTCCGCAGAGGCGAAGGCGGCGAGAGATGGGGCCGCCTTGCGAGAAGTCAGGGCTCATCTTCCATTTGCTTATGAATATGTTGCATTTTCATATGAAGTACCGTCGAAAAAAAGAAAAAACAACTTCTGTTGCATGTCTTGGTTTTAAAGGGAATCTATCACTACTGGAAGTATCTTGTAATTTCATATTGAAGTAACGTCAAAATGACTTGTGTCGAGTTTAGCATTCGACGTTTCATTGATATTGTGAAAATGCACAAAACCCTGGCAAACCATAAGGGACTCTGAAAATAACAATATACCTGGAAAACAATGGAAACGCTGGAAACGATAGGGGACTCTCAAAGTATGTAGCGAAACGGCCGTAAGTAAGTAATTTCGACCGTGCCTCATATCTCTGGTTTTAAAGGGAATCTCTTACTACTGAGAGTATGTTTTCCAGGGGCCTTCTGCAAATGGAAGTCATCCAAGTGGGGGTTGATCAAAAGGTCCTGAAAACAGGATGACCATTGGTTGGAACATCACTAACATATGGACATATTCCACTAAATGGGACACGGGGAAAGTTACCCAAGGGCTTCTATAAGCATCCAGTCTCCTTCTCCTTCTTAAATGCGGTTACCCAAAAGAAGGGGGAGCATTTTTCCACTGCGTTTTTGTGTGAGTCCTGTTGATCCTGAGGGTTTTGTGCTTGAGCCTCTTTGGACATGTTTGGACCGATTCGTGGCATGAAAGCACAAGGGAGGATGTTTGTGTTGTTCTCACCACCAACCTTTGGAATGATGCCATGGATTTGGCGGAGGTTGGTCACTGGAATGATTCAGAGGCATTTTCCAGAGGCACTAGATCAACAGAAGGGCATTCCTTTGGCGGCCCTTGTTGTAGGATTCTTGTTGAAATCAGACGCTAGCCCTACGGGAAGCCAAACGGATTTTATGTAAGCACAATGTTTAAAACAAACCAAGCACCATGTTTGGCTTTCCATGTTTAAACACCACACGTGTACATGTTTTTATGTTTAACACCAGAAGCTGAACCGTTGCTCAGACTCCATAGCTTTACCCGCAGGTCGAGAAGCTGTACTCTGGGGATCAGGACGGCGCAGTAGCGGAGGACATGAAGAAGATGGATACCACAGGCAAGGTGAATTGGGTGTGGGGCAAGAATTGGGTAACCCTAAAATGGGTTGCCCTGGTCAATGGAAACGAGGACTAAAACCTGCGGTGTCCTGGTAGTTCAATTTTGACCCATACGCATTTGTTGTCTCCGAATCTTTGGTCCGAAGATGTCTGGGAAGAGGGAGACAGAACCTTTTCTTTGCATCGTTGAAGATGGGGCTTTGAGGCGATCTGTGATACCAACCGGGGATAGCTGGAGAAATTCCCAATTTGGAGCTACAAAGGATTGGTCATTCCCAGCCTGAAAATTGATGGTAGCACACCCTTGGTGTGTGGTGCCTAAGGAGTTCGACACCACTGGTTTGGCCCAAGTTTTTCTTCCCGCCTTCGATGTTTGAATCCCCCCCAGAAGCGCCACTGTGACTTGCGGGAGGCTACCTGATGCTGCACGTGGCGCCGCGGCTTGGGGTCGGTCCGGGGAGTCGTATTTGACCGGGGCCACCCCTTTCTGGAGTTCCTGGACCTTGAAAGTTTGGAGGACTGGACCATTTCAGTCCTAAAGAAACAGTTTGGACCTTTTTTTTCGGCCCATCCACTCAAAAAATCGAGTTTTAGGCAATGACGGACCCCCTTGTGGGTTACTTGAAGGGACGCCAAAAGGCAACCGCCATTTCAAGGGCACCCTTTTTGAGACACGACACACCACTCATAGGAGACTAGTCGATACCCTTTCAATGGCAAGCATGTTTGGAACCTGAGCAAATGTCCCGAGAAAGCACTCGCGGCTCAAACTGATACGAACACCTGGACCCTGGAGCAGCTACCTGTTCAAACTGGCGATTGCCCCCCAGAAAAACGAGCGAATTCCTTTGTTAGCTGAGGATCCAGGTAGTCGAATGCATTTGTTTTGGCGGGGCCTAACTCCTTATGTGTTGTCTTGTGTGAAGCGGTGCCTGCGGCCCAATGCTAGACGCCTGACAAATCGGGAAGTCCCCGCAGGTGTCGAGGTTTGACACGAGGTTCATGTAAAAGCCGCGCTGAAGCCCCCTTTTCAAAATGCTGTTTGGCGCTTTGCTTTCTCTTGAGAGGCCACCGACTGCTATTTTGTTTAGGTTTTTTCAAGGTGCCAACTTGGGCCATGAGCACCGCATTACTGCAAGCCATTGTGAGGCTTTCACTGCGGGAATCCTGACCATACCCTATGGCAGGCAGTGACCATGACATGTACGGGAATTCTCCGCGAAGTTTCTGCTCGAAACAACAGGCGGTATCCCATTATATATCTAGATTGCCGCTGAAGAGCCGTAATGCCAACCCTGGACAAGTAGAGGGTTCCTTAAAGCCATCCAGAAGGGGTTCCCTACATTTCAAGGGGTTGATTTGCCATTTGTTCAACCATTGTTATTTTCAATCACCAGCCCATTCCCCCGTTGGTTTTCTTTGACAAGAAGTCCTGGAAAGAATGGGCAGCCACCACTAGACGCCTGCTCTATCAAGGTGAAGCAGTACCATCGGCCGGACTGCAACGCCTTCGACGTGTTTGGCCGCGTGTTGTCCGGGACGGTCTTCAGAGGTGATCGCGTGAAGATCTTGGGACACCTGGCCAGCACAGTGAGGGCATGACTGTATCTCACTTGCCCAAAGCTGACTTTTGGACGTGTTTGTTTTCCACAGCCCCAAGCAGTTAACCTTGTATTTCTGGGTCCTTTGGGCAAGTGAGGAACGGTATGGGGGGGGAAGGTTTGTGAGTTGGGGTTTTAGGACCCCTTCTGGGCGTTTGTGCCGCACCGCGCTGGTGGATGTGATAGAGCGCGAACGTCCCAAGCACACCCCCTGCCGTGTACCAGTTGGCAGGTGGTTTATCCCACCCAGGATTTATTCGGTTTCAGCCATTCAGAATGGTGTACGTTTTGCTTGTAGTCCAGGGGGCTCTTTACCCCAGATGAGATACCATAAATTGTAAGGGTTCGTACAAGGGATATGACTGTATTGTTGTGGAATAGGGTGCAAGCCCGAAGAGAATGAAGGTGACCTTCAAACACGAAGGCTCCTATGGATTTGCGTTTGGGTTTTGTTGGGCTCGAGAAGGCAGAGGAAGCTAAACGAAGCCTTTTTCTGCGAACATCTGGTTTCGAACCATTGGCTCCTCGAGTTAGAAGCAGCGGGTATCCGCGGAAAAGTGCTGCATGAAGACACTAGCTGGTAAGTCGTCCTGTAAGTCACAAACACAAACCCCGTCGCCCAGTGGGGCGCGTGTTTTCTTGGTTATTGTTTGGGGAAGGGTTCCCCTTTAGACTCAACCAACCGAAATATATATATATATATATTAAGATAAAAAAACAAAAACAAAAACTATAACAATAGTGTACATTTGAGCAAATGCAAGGCTCAACAAGGCTCGCAAAGAGCTAATAGTGACACTCACCTGTAAGAAGAGCGGGGAGATGTCACGCATGGATGCGGCACGCATGACCCAACAGCCTGCAAAACGAAGACGGCCTTTGGAGACGAAGGCTGTATACTATTACATGAGGATGTTGATGGTGCCTTAGATTGAGATCATATGAGGTAACCTGAATGGGCTGCCCTCAACGCCCACTTTTACATGTTCTTCTTCCAAGCATTCGCGGACCTGATCCTATGCATTCCCAAGGAGAGACCTACTCCCTGGATGATGACGAGGACATGGCAATCAAAGAGATCCAAAACCTTTGGATCATGGAGGCTGCGGGGCATGTGAATGCGTCCTGCAATTTTTCAGGAAACAGACTATGCTGCTGAAGGGTTGCGTCGCTAGTTGTTGGTGATCTGTATGTTCTGCAGCAGTCAAACCGAGTCAGCAATGAGGGGTCACAGTGCCTGGACCTTCTCACATGACATCACCGACAGGTCAGCTGATTTCATGGAACAGACAACAGCGACCCAGGGAGGAGTCGAGACTCGACCATTTGCTTGTCAATATGCTCCGCCAAGAAGACAATGCCTCACCCATTAAAGGGCAACTGGATCTCTGCCACTGGATGCACAATGACACATGTTTCGCCAATAGTTCAGCCCTCCCCAAAACAAAGTCCCAAAAAGGGCACACCCACATCCATGCTTCTCGTTACAAAGCTGGGTGTTGCTGTTGCTCATTGCCAGGGCCGATACCGCGTGGAGGTGAGCCATGTGCCCGCGGGCAACTGGGCGGGGAACCCGAGAGTCGGAAGCCATGTCTTCTGGGGGGTTGGGGGGTGGTTCTAGTGAATAATACACGTGCCGTTTTTTTGTTGGGGAGGGGGGGAGGGGGAAATCAAAAGGGTTGTCAATAGCCAGAAGGACTTCTTCAAGCTGTTTGGGGCTAGTTTTCGTGGGGTCAGTCTTTCCCAGATAGCCGAAAGCAAGAGAGGGGGTTTTAACTTCAAGTATAGATGGGGGGGGGGGCGGACAAAGAAACATGTTACCATTTGGGGTCTTATCACACTAGCTGGGGGTGTTTAGCTGTAATCTATCACCTGGAGGCCAGTAAAGCTATTGGGTCCAGTTTCCCCAAACAGATGGATGCATCCAACTGGGTGCTAACTGGCACATTCTTCAGTTTCCGGGTGCTTTTCTGGCATACCGGCATGTTCAGGGGCTAGATTTCCTGGCGCAAATCTACTTCTTAGCTTTCCCTTTCGGGGTTGTAGTGATCTCATGATGTCCGCGTTCGAGGTGCTGATCGGTGGCATCGAGACATGCATCAAGAAGACCGCGACCATCACAACTGCATCCAACGAGGAGGAGGCGAGAGGGGCGACGAATCTAAGTTTGACCAAGCTTGTCCATTCCCCCCACGCTCAATACCCGGGTATGACGTAAAATGATGGCAGACCCGAAGCGGAGGTGTTTTCCGTGGAAAACCGGTTCTTAACAATATACCCTCAAAACACAAAGTGCGTATTTGGAGTAGGGGAATGGTTTTGCCAAGGGATCAGGGGGCGTGTTGACTTTCCGGAAACTGGGGATTCTAGGTTGACACTTTCTGTGAATCCAATAGAATCACCGTGAACATGATAAGGCAATCAATATTGGTAAGGGAATGTTCCGCGACTATGTTGTAGACCCCCATGGTGTTTATTGAACCCCAAACACAAACTCAGCACAATGAGGTTCGAGGTTGTGGTTGGGCGTTGAAAAGACAAGGGCCCCTTTTGTTGGTTCAAAGGCGATGAACCCCCCCCCCGTGTCGTGGTTTCCCCTAGCGGTCTCTTCACATCCTGTGCCTGTCCACCAAGAAAAGCAGACACACGTGTACAGACACATACAAACATACAAACGCGCTTGTCCATCCGAAAAAGCTTCGATTAGGTTGCCAGGATTGGTCGTGTCGCATGCCTTCCCGAGGTCAACGCCATGGATTGGTTGTGTCGCATGCCTTCCCGAGGTCAACGCCATGGGCAAAAGTCTTTGGCATGCGTTGGCTTTTGCGGCGTGCTGACAAAACCACCAAGCAGGAAGCAACATGGCCTTCCCAGACTTCGTGTATACTTTGTGATACGAAATGCAGTTGTAAGGTTTCTTCTTGAAGAGTTTGTATGCGCGGGCATTCGCCTTAACACAAAGCGAGGCATGAATGCCGCAGACGAAGCACAAGGAAATTGTAGCTGTTGCTCATGGCTAGTTGCTTTGCTTCACTTGCAATATCTACTTAGAATCGGCAACAGCCATGTATGACAAGCAGCGCGGCTTGCTGTCTCCTGTGCCAGGTTGAGATCTTCAACCCCTTGCGCTTTCCAACCACCCCTGCAGCAGACTCAGCATGGCTGCAGAGCGCCTTTCTTGGACTACCCCAAGGTAGACCAAAAGTCAGGGGTGCTTGGGGAACAAATGCAGGTCCTCCTTGAATTTCTCAAAGAGCACCCCAGCGAAGCCTTGTTTGGGTCCGGATCAAAGGCACGTGGTTTGCAGAGGGATCAGAGGCCCCTGGTTGACAGAGATCTCCATTGGATTCCTTTTGCGGCACCGCGCAATTGACATCTTTAGGCCAGTTTAGCGCAGCTTTGGGCCCTTCGACAGCACAGCAAGGTAGACTTGTGTTTACATACTCATGAACCGCCCAATGCTCGCTGGCTCCCGCATGATGAAAGCCCTTTGCTGGGGCCCAAGAGCAATGGACAGGACACACCTGCGGCAAGGCGTTCTTGCCTTTTTGGGCCCAATTTGGCCAGCCTGAGCAAAAGGGTTAGGTTAGGATGCATGGTGCATATTACTGGTGACTAAACGGGAAGCACCCCAATAGATACTGATACACGTGTATGTATACATATATATATATATATATACACATGTATCATACATGTTTGTGTTGTGCGTATGCTCATATTTCATATTAGGGCACGCCACTCATGGAGTGGGTGCCTGGAATGTGCACGCCTGGATCACAAAATTTACTGGTCCCACTGGTGGCTCTCACTTGCCATTGAACTATTTTAAGGGGAAGATCAGAGTGGCAAGACCGGCTGTGGGTCGCCCTTTCTTTCTTTCTTTCTATCTTTCTTTCTTGCTTTCTTTCTATCTTTCTTTCTTTCTTTCTTTCTTTCTTTCTTTCAGAAAACGAATTACGAAAATCCGAGGGATTGGGAATTGCTTTGCTTTATCATCCAAACGATGGGCGCAAAGAAAGACACCTTTCATTTTCTCAGGTCGGCTTGGTAGAGGAACTTCAGATGGGACCAATCCATTCATCGGTTCTGAGCACTTGCGACCTTATCTCCTCACACTTTGCAGTTCATGAGCCATCCAGATGGAGCCCCAGACCTGCGTCATTCTGTGGCGATTGGGTTGGCGAGAGTCATCCAGAGGCTGTGTCATGGCCATTTGGTTGGGGAGGGTTGTGTCCGCAAATCAGAGGTGCCCCCGGAACAACCTCCCCGACGGGTTCAAGGGCAATTTGTTTCAGGTCGTGAAGGTGGCGATTGAGCCCCTGCAGCCGGCGGAGCTCCCCAAAATGGTGGACGGCCTCAGGCTTGCGGCTGGCATGCTCGTAGCCCGAAAGAAGCCAAGCTTTTTGAAGGCACCCTTGTTGTGATGGGTTTTTTTGGGGGGACACCAAAAGGAACATCAGGTTAAAAGGTTTTTTTTTTGTTATTTGTTGTTGAGCCATGTTCTACATGTTCTGCCGAATGCCCGCAGTGATACAGGCTAATGGCTTTGGAAATCCACAACGGAGAGAAACAATGGTGCACAACGAAAGGCGCGCAAATATCCAAGCGATTCCAGGCCAGTTGATGTAATTCATGACTCCATGGCCAGGTTGCTGTTGAACAGAACGCATCTGGAGTTCTTTCTTAATTATACATGTATCATGCGAGGTTTGGAGTTACGTACAAACTGGCAGCAACATGTTTTTCCGGTTGTCGATACCTGCACGACGTGGAGGGAGCTGCGTTGCCTTTTTTTGGGGAAGTTTCCGCAAAGTGGGGAGGGAGCTCAGTAAATGTGGATTGCCTCTGAAGAGCCCTAATGCCATCCCTGGACAAGTAGAGGGTTCTTTGAATGGTCACTCTTTTGAGTAAATAAAGCCGTCCAGAAGAGGTCAATACTTTGCAAGGGGTGGATTTGCCATTGTGTTCAACCATCGTTCTTTTCAAACACCAGCCCATTCCCCTGGGTGTTGTTTTTTTGGATAGAAGGATCCCGGAAAGAATGGGAATTCCCTTGGCAAGTGTTTCGAGTGAATGGGACAGTTTGTAGATCGAGGTTTGGCCAATGGGGTTTTCATCCACGTCCAAGGCTTATATGGCTTGCAAAAGGCTGCCCTATTTGGCAACAGAGCTGAATCTGTCTTTTGAGAGCAACCTGTTTGAGGTTAAGAAGCCCAATTGATAAATTTTATTGTTCTGACTTGGAGTTCAGGAGTCATGAAACCTGTTCCGCTGGTTTGAAGGGTGGCCACATCTGGATATCGATGTCCGCAGGAAGATCGACAAGGCCTATCCCCTCTCCAGAACCAAGGCCTGGCCCTTGGAGCCGGATTGGTGAATGACCGTCACCCCAATTGTCTGAAACGGTTGCTTCAGGTTGCTACTTGTAGAGGCTTCGAATAAGATCTGGGGAATAAGAACTGGGAAAACACAGCAACAACCTTTACTCCTGCATCTGGAAGCTGACTCCTTTAGACTGGGGAAGTCTCTTCGTGAAGACACTCTGATGGACATCTGTTTATGGCTGGCTGGAGGCTAGGCCATGAGGCTGTCGCATCGGGCAAGAGAGACGAGGGCCTGAATAAAGAAAGTCCAATTTTGCTCTTCAGTCAGCGCCCACATGAGCTACGGAAAAAAAGAAGAAGAAGTGGGTGTGTGCTTTCATGTCTTGATGAGGGAATCTTACACCCTTTTGGAGTTGGTCTAGGGTGAATCATTTTTGAGGGTCCAACCTTAAAAAAGACACACCCAGATGTGCAGAATCGGCTGGGTCAGGTCGAGGAGAGTGGCGAGTCTCAGCCTCAGAGTTCCGAAGTTTGCTGAAGATCTGTCATGAAACCCCGGCTGGTCCTTGAGGGGAATCGATTTCACTACTGGACATATGCTTCCCTTAGGGGACGTGTTCGCACTCCCTGGAGACCCTGGTCCCTATGTTTCAACAAGACGTGTTCACAAAAATATAGGGTGCACCTAGCTTCCAAACATCACCTGAATGAGTTCCAGGAAGTCCGGGGTCCTTCTTCCGAGTGGCAGGCTTTTTCAGCAGAAGCGTGTTCCTGGAGTCTCCATGACCCTGTAAAGATGGGGTCATGACCCCTTTATTTTGGGTAATGACCATTTGTAAAGGGTCATGGAGACTACAGGTTAGCTTATGGGAGAGTTGTAATTATTGTAATTGTTTCAGTTCTCTCAGGGTGCCTGGATATCTTGGTATCTTCGAAGGCACCAAGGGACCCGCTTGAGACTCACAGCCCGCTTCAGTGTGTACTGGAAACGCTGGATTAATAAAGCTGGGAGGGTGGGGGGCCGGTGGTCTGAACCCCGCCACCATCAGGGGGACACCCCGAATCAGGTCGAATCATAGTCAACCAAAGTTCCGCTTACTCCCGGTGTCCCATGACTCGACTTGTCGCTGTGATTCTGAGGCACGTCCTGCTGGGCACAGGAGAGGTCTACCTCGACTGCATTCTCCACGACTTGCGCAGGCGACACCTCCGTCCACAGGGCTTGAAGCATGCGGATCCCGCGGACAGGATCCCTTTGCGTTGAACGGCCCAAAAGCTAAATCAGGGAAAAGAAAACTTGAATGAACGCTCGTGAATTTGAACATAAGCTACTGTATTCCTGAATCCGCCGATGAAGCTTGTCACAAACAAGCATATACCAACCCAAGCCCTGGGCTTCTATACCAACACCACCGGGCCCAAGCCAAACCTGAACCGACCTCAAAGCAGCCTGAGACCAACCAACACGCCCGCATCAAGTTTGCACCAGCCCACGGGCTCCGCAAGTTCACCGAACGGCGTTGGCTTCATGCGACTTTGGTTGAGCTCCGGTTGGATGTTTAAGGCGCCTACAAACACAACAGGCAGTATAGCTATGCATGCATGCGCGGTGTGTGCGCGGGCGTTTGGAGCACGCTTTCCACTTGAGACTGGTTTGTCTCATCATGGGCAGGTTTGCCTTGTTAACATCCTGTCTTAGTGTTCTTTTATTCCCCCTCTCAACCAGCAAGACGGCCCTTCACCAAACGAGCTTGACATGTTTGAGGGGACAGCCGAAAAAGAATGCCTCTTCAAGGGGTCAGATCTCATTCCAACCACTGGTAGGATTTGATGGGATATGACAACGGTCTGATTTCGGCATGGGGCGCTCAAAAATCAATCCATGTGTAGTACTATCCAACATTGTAAGTTTTCCCACGGTTCAAACCACCCAACATGAGTGATGCTGACAGGGGACATGGCTGCGTGTTGAAAAAGAGGTCCTTCTTGCAGGTTTGGGGGTAGTGGAAACCATCCTAGAAGAAATTGAAGGCTCGGCGGTCTTCCCTTTGGTTTTCCCTAAGCAAGCCCAAAAGAACACTTGGAAACTATCTCAGCGGGTAGCTTTGGTTGCGGGTCGTGGAAATCTGAATTTGACATGTTACCATCTCAATCCCCGCCCTTCTGCACTTGCCGAAGCCCCGAGCTTTGGGCGGAGACCCATAGCTGTTAAGTGGCTGGAAGAACGGGGGATGGACAGGTTGCAGGTGTTTCCTTCCCAACATCGAATATTGCGGGATCTAAAATCCAGGCCTTCCTGGAGTTCCGTTGGCCAGCTATGGAACCACTAAACCAACCCTGAACCAACTCTAAACCAACCCCAAACCATCCACAAACCCACACCAAACCAACCCCAAGCCAACCACAGACCCGGACCAAACCACGCTACACCAGGGCTACACCACGGAGCACGGACAACTTGTCACTTTCCTAGGCTCTACGGGGACCTTGAGATCAAGGTGGCGGATCCTGTGGTGGAGTTCTGCGAGACGGTGGTGGCGAGGTCCCTGGATTCCCTTTGTTCGAAGCCAGGGAGGCGTCTCTCTCTCTCTCTCTCTCTCTCTCTCTCTCTCTCTCTCTCTCTCTCTCCGTTTCGGGGGGGGTGGAAAGCGGATGAGAAAGGGAGCACGCGAATCCTACTTTTTTTTGTTATTGTTGGAGAAGACATGTTTTGCATGTTTTGTTTTGGGGGGGAGGGAATCCAAAGGACCTGATTTGGAGTTTGTGAAGCCAGAGGGACTAGATGATTTTGGGGCAAGCCGATTTTGATCAACGTCTATTCAAAGCCTTGGCCCTCAAGCCATTTGGAGGTCTTTTGTGAATTCCACCTGTTCTTTCCCCTAACCAGCGGTGGAGCAACAGAAAAGCACATAACCTAGCTGCTTTTTAGAGTTAAGGCAAAAATGAGTTTGCCTGAACTGGCCCCAGAGAAGGTTTCATCCGCCGTTCGCGCTGAGGAGACGAGCTCTTTGAAGTGCTTTGCGGAGACGCCCAACAAGAAGAACAAGTGACGGCACTCAGAGTCACACCTCTTTGATGGGGGACCGGCAAACACAGACCAGCCTCCCAAATGCATGCTCTATAGAAGATCAGAAAGGACCAAACTGGAAGTTGTTTGGGGGGGGGGGTGGTAGGAGCAGTCTTACAGCAGAGGGTTGGTTGTTCCAAATGAGGTGCGATTTGTTTGATTGGCACCTTGTGTCGGACACGAGGCTTGTTCCGAAAGCGAATGGCTCTTGGGACCCGTTTACCCCTTGGAAAGGAGCAATCCAAGGCACCCCTTCCAAAATAAAATTGTGCCGCTGTTGAGCTGAGATGCGACATGCCAAAACATGTATTGGTTTGAGGGTTTGAATCCTACAGGGACACTACGGTAGCACAAATCCAAGCCCTTCGAGAGAAGCTGAAAGCGAGCTTTCCAGTGTTTAATTTGAGTCCGCGTGCTCAGCTTGTTTCTCTCTAGCTGAGTTGTTTTTGTTATGCGTGTGCCGCGTTTTTTTGTTTTTGTTTTTTCGTTTTCAATTGTTGTTTTTTTGCTTCTGAAACCACTCCACCCCACACACACAGACACACACACAGACACAAGCCACCCGCCCGCCCGCCCGCCCGCCCGCCCGCCCACCCACCCACCCCGTGTTTAAGCACATTGGGTGCCTCAGGATCTACATGGTGGCGGAGCCATTGGAGAAGGGCCTCGGTGAAGACATCGAGAAGGGCAAGGCGCGAGAGAGAACTATCGGGTTGTTCTTTTGAGTTAGTACTCTGTTTGGGGTTGGTTTAAAGGGAACCAACCGATGCTGTGCTGTTGTTGTTTTTTTTGTGCGGGTGGGGGTCCCCTTCTTTTGACACCCACTCATACGAAGGGAGGGGCGACCGTCTTTTTGAGTCTTTTATGTTGTTGTTGTTTTTCGTGTTTATCCTTAGTTATGTTGACACCCACCCATATGAAGGGAGTGTCAACACCAAAGGCCCTGAAAGTTGCTCCAAGTCTCAATGAACTGAAGCCACAAGGGTCAAAAACTGGCATTGGGTCCTTCTGTTTGTGTTTTCCAGGGACCAACTGTCCTCAGGTGAGCATCGAGTGGGACAAGCGACGTATGAGTGACTTCTTCACCAAGAACTACGACTGGGACTGACTGGCTGCTGGTCTTCACTTCCTGAGTTCCTGGACTTTCTACTTTTGGGGATACCATGTTAGCCGTAAACAAAAGTTCAGACTATTTGGTGGGCAATCCACTCGTTCGGGAGTGAGACGTGGGTGATAAGGCAAGAAGCGGAGTCATGGTTTGAGCTCTGTGCCAGGACCTCTTGGCCTCGCGGTCCGTTTGGGCTTTTGGACCCGAGGACGGGTCTGGGATACAAGTTCCGAAGCATTGCCAAGAGGCTTCAGGGAATTGAAATCCTATGAGGATTCTGCCGGGGGGGGGGAGGTTGGGGATCCTCAGAAGCGAGATATAACTGTGGTCTTGGCGGACTCTTAAATTGTAAGCTTTTCTCTCCTCTTTTCGCGCCCCTTCCTGGAGAGCGCAGCATAGCGCAGACACGTTGCTGCTTTGTTTCCGGTGTTGTGTCCAAGGGGGTTGCTGAAAAGCTGTGGAGAGCCTTATGGAGCCTTCAAACCATAAGTTTCTCCGGGCCCTGGGACTTTTCCCCAGCCCCCGCATGCGTTTTTTTGGGGCGGCGCGGAAGTGAATCCTTGACCTCCGACCTTTCTCCCTTGCTTGAGGGTGCAAGAGCCCCGGCCACTGGAGGTCAGGGCAATGGGCATGTAGCTGAGAAGTCGTCTCAATCACTTGCGTAACGCTGGTTGCTGGGAGGGGCCTGTTCACAGAGACTGGCGTTCCTGGAAATACATATATTTATATACAAACGTGTCATGTGTTGTTGTTAGTCTTGCAATGGAAACCACGGGAAAGCTTGCCACCCCGGGGGGGGTTCCCAATTTTGGCACATGCGCAACGCCTTGTAGTCGCACCTGAAGACGAGTTCACTGCTGGCAGTCGAATCTCCAACCTTTGCCTTGAAAAGAAGGGCATTGCCCATGAGCTACTTGAAAGTGGGTCGATCAAAGTGATATTATCAAACTATCCTCAAAATGTTGGTTTCAACAAATAAGCTCAGGTGATATCCCCAACAGCATGCGGTGCTCTTTTTAGTGCAGCCCTCGCAGAACCTCGTGGAACCCTCTTGGAACCCTGGTGGAACCCTCGTGGAACCTTTCTTCAGGGCCGCCCTGGACCACCCCGGAGCCTATCTGGGCTGAGACCCCAAAGCTTTCAGCTGTTGGGGAAAATCACACGCCCAAGAATCAGTCTGAGCACTTCTCAACATACCAAAAAACATTTCAGGGGCCCAGATCCCAACCCACTGCTTGCCACGGCCGAAGAGACGAAAATGGCCAGGTCAATGGCCCCAACGTCTTGGTGGACGACAGCTTGCCAACGGAGGCCGTTCGGAAATCCGAGGGCTCAGTTGCTCAGTGGCACTTGTGTTCCCTTCTTTTTTTTGGTGGCTGCCCCACTACAAATGGTCTTCCCAAAAAAAAGGTTCCCTTTTTTTCCAGGGCCACTGAACAAGTGAGAGGAGATGACGCTGTTTTGCACCTGGATGTCCCTGAGCGATTGGGTCCTGCTTGGTCGCCATGTTTCTCTCTTAAGGGGACCCTCACTCCCCAAGTTGCTGGATTGTGAATTCGTTCTGGGCGGCCACTTTGAGTGGCAATCAGAAGGTTCAGACCTTCCGGCCAAAGAGCTCCGGAAGTGACATCCTGAATTGAAATTCGAAGAACACGGCCGAGTGGACCAAGCGACTGGCAGTTGTACCATTTTCGATCAGCGCAGTGGTCACATTGGGTAGATACGTGGTCCTAATGAACTCTGTGCTTGCTTCCTTTCTGACCCGTTGTTATTGTGCACGTGTGGCTCAATCATGCTGCCCCCCCCCCCCGATCCACGCCGGACAACATGCTTGCACAGTGTGCGCAGCGGATTTCAGATTGAATCCTTCAGGTGAACAAGAGCCTGTTGGCGCAGAGCAAGGATAGCACTGGCCTCAGACGTCAGAAGGCAGCCTTGCAGGTGAGGGTTGGAAGGTTCAGCATTCCATGTCCCTTTTCGGTTGGCTGGTCATCACCTGTTGCGTTGCCGAGGGGGGATGAGGTCTCTTGAGCTTGGCACTTTGTTGACGGAACCTCGATGTGAACGTTGCACGGAGAAGGAATTGACCCTGGCCTGGTTGTTTAGTGGCCCACAACCAAGAAAAGTCCCCCAAGGACTGGGCCCCTTGTTCTCGTGTTGAGTTGGCATAAGGGGGGTCCGTTACAATGGGTGGCCATGAATAGGAAGCCACACAAACAAAAGTGTTTTTCACCGCATGGAACAGTTTTTTCCCGTGCATGGTCAGAACCGGGGCCCTAAATGCAAGACTGCTCAACCCCCATATTGTCAGCCACACCGTTCCTCAGGTTCCAAACTCGGCCCACCAACTCGGCCAATGCCTCGCTTCGATCTTCGAGTCGAAGAGCCGAGGCTTGATCCAGGGCTTCCAGTGGGCCACCAAGGAGGGCCCTCTCTGCGATGCGGGGCTCCCAAGTGACCGGAAGGGCGCCGATTGTAGACGTTGAACCCATGGAACCTTCGGAACCAACCGTGGCCGCCCCAGAAGGTACCCATCAAATAGGGGGAATGTACCTCAGGATTTGCGTTCTCCCGAAACGTAGGGGCTGGCAAAGGCTTTCCAGGGACCTCCAGTCATGTTCGACGCTGGCCACTGGGAGGATTGTAAAGGAACATCGTAGCAACCTCCAGTCAGGTTCCTTGCTCTGTAATTTGTGTTTTTTCGTGTCGCGTCTTGTTGGCCCAATTCGCTTTTTGTTGTGTACTTGGTTGGGTGGTTGCAGACAACATCAGGAACATGCAGAACCCTGATGGATAAGAGTTTCCCGTGCCGCTTGCTGGGTCTTGAGGCTGAGACAACCCGTTGGTTTCGATTTGGTTCGACCTTTCCGTGAACCTTTTGGGGAACATGACTCACATTACCCCCCCCAATTGCATTAGTGTTGGGATTTGAACCCCTGGCTCTTGTACCTCCAAACCACCCATTAGAGGGAAGCTGAATGACTACGTTCCCTCTATCTTTCTTCATAGGCCGTCCCCAGACGAACGGATCAACAGGGGCCTTGCATGCTTGGCCCCCGGCGGACGCACGGAGCGCGCTTCCTGAGCACTGCACCAACCACTGCACGAGGGAGGCAAGCACATCACCCATTGAACATCGGAGCGTGAGTCGCACGAGCAACTGGCAAAATCTGGCAAACATGTGTCGGGTAGATGGAGCTGGGGGCCGGGGGGACCAAGATCTGGGGCCAAGCTTTACCAGATAGTTCTAAATTGACACCAAAAGGAGATTTCTTTTTCCAGACCCTCCCCCCTTCTCTGCTCTCAGTTTGCAGAGGGGACACCAAGGATTTTTTTTGGACCGACCCTCGTTTTTCCACCTCGCTGGTTCTGTGACCTCCCTCGTGGTTTGTGGGGCAACCAGCGGGTTGGGGGGGTTGGTCAACAAAGCCAGTCCCCAGAATATTTTCTGGGCATATGACGAGCGAAACCCAGGGGGCAAGAGCGAAACCCAGGAAAAGATCCTTTGCTTAAGGATTATTATTGCTTCTTTTCTGAAATATTGTAGTGGATGTTGTTCCAAAAAACGGTTGATTTTCTTTTGGTTTCCCTTTAAATAACGACCAAAAGGGGTCCACCATCTTGAGAAGCTCCCAAATTTGCCCAGGGTATTGCCGTTGTTGGTTTGTCTTTTTGATACAGGTACCATTTCTGGTGGTTGTCCATGCCATGTTGGGGTCTATGTCTCTCATACTTAGCTTTCCCCACATACCCCTTTAATTTAGCACACGTATGTGCAGACATATTTATGAACTGTCTTAGTTCTTTATTTGTTTAACTAGTTTACGAATTGTTTAATTAATTGTTGTTTTTGTTTATTTACTTCTTTTTTATATTTAGTTGTCATCATCTATTTATTAGTTTATTTATTTTTATATTTATTGTTGATGTATTTGTTCCGTTGCCGACTTATGTATTTGGTTAGCTTTGTATATCACATGTGTGTAATCATTTGTTGCTTGATTTATTTGTATTCGCAAGCATATGTTTCACCGTCTCAGGAGAAGATCCGAAGCTGCAAGTTCAAGATCCTGAACGCCCAGCTGGCGGAGGATGTGGTGCTGCGTGGCGGCGGTGAGGGCCCTCAGGGCGTTCGGGAAGAGCTGCTCTCGCAAGAAGTGATAAATGGGTTTGTCGTTGTTGTTTTTTTGCGAGTACCCTGTTTTGGGGTTGGTTTAAAGGGAAACCAAAAGTTGCATTCATCTTGGCCCCGAATTGAACTGTCCAATCCACGACACTGAGCAAGGGGGAGTGCTAGTCTCTGAAAGCGAAGCAAGGTTGCTCCTGTAGCCATGGGCAATCATTTGCTTCGTTACAGTGGCCTTAGTAGACCATGTGATCCGAGAATTACATGTGCCCGCTTTGAATCAGACACGAGGGACCCTTGGCATTTCTTGTCATTTGGTGCTTTGTTTTCAGACCCGTTTCAAGTGCGTCTCGCTTTTGAGGGTAGCTTTTTGGGGGGATGGTTTTAAAGGGACGCCAAAAGGGCAAACAACCATTCTGGGGGGATGCCTAGGTGTATGACCAGTTTTTGTGTCTTGATCTCTCGTTTGGCCGAGAAATTGCAGGTCCGGGACACTGTCGGAACCATGGCGCAATTGGAACCCGTTGTTTGTAGAACAACCCTGCGTCAGGGGCAGCGTTCAAATGGGTTCTACAGAGTACACACCAAAACTTGCTGGTGCTCAGTAGGGAATGACCCAGGGTGTTGGTGATGAACCTAGGGATTTCCTTGAAGGAAACCATAGGGGATGGTTTTTCTCGGGGTCATTCCACATCCCATGGCCCAAGAGAAAACCGCGGAGAGTGTGTCCAAGGTCAGATCATTCCCACCGCACGCCGTGCTGGGCGCCCAGAGATTACTTTTTTTGTGACGGCAGTTAGACACATTCTTTAATCAGGTTTGGACTGGGTGTTGTGGTTAAGGGTACGTAGTTCCCTCTACAAACGCCAAGGGTTCAAATCTCCAGTCCCCACCAATTGGGGGTACCTAGTTGAAGCGGGGAGCCGTGCGGGGGACTGCAACATGTGGTTCTGTGGATGTGCGCTTTTAAACTTATAGAGGGTACCCGTGTCAGGCTCGCTTAAAAGGAACCGAAAGAAGAAAAAAACATGTTGGAGGTCTCCCTATTTTGACACGTCACCTGAGGCAAAACTAGCTGGAATAAAGCATACATGAATGAATTCAACCAGCTGTAGAGAGCAGTGTTGACACATCCCTTCAGGCAGAACCAAATGAATGGATGCCAACCTTCGCAACGGTTTGTCTCAGAACACCATAATGGCCGTGACTTTCCCTAGTGGCCAATCCTGTCCACCCCTTCCCAGCCCATCTTTTTTTTGTCCAGACGCCTTTGACTGTTTTGCCCGTGCTCCAAGCATCAACTGCTTAGGTCGCCTACTCCGCCTTCCTGCTCGCGACCCCGCGTTTGATGGAGCCAGTGATGCCCGCAGCCCTGAACAAGCCATCGATTCGACGATTTTTTCCGGAGTCGGAGGGAGAAAAACGAGTCGCATCTCGCAGCTCGGTTTGGTTTCTCCTGGAGCCATTCCTTAAGCCTTGGGTCTAGCAACATGGAAGTGGTTTTGGGGTGAAAGACCATGTTCCTTCAAAACGGAGCTGGCGGGTTATGTGTTGGTGGAAAGGTATGTAGTTACCCCTGGTTCATACCCCTCAGTTCCGGTTCCAGCGCCGCAAACATAAAAAACAAAGGTTGTATGAGCGAAAGCACTCGGTGCAGGGGAGCCCCCTGGGCCGATGCTTTTGCGTTTTGTTGCAGGGGAACAGTCAGGTTACCGGAGAAGCCGCCAGAGAGCTGGATGCCGTAAGGGATGCCCGGATTGCCCTGGTGTCAGTTTGTCAGTTACCCTGAAGGTCTGGTTCTTGTAGAGGGTAAATGGGAAACCACCCTGAACCACTTTCAGCGGCAAACTCAAACAGGGTTGCTTCCAGCCATTCTCAAGAAATGGCCAACTCCCAAGGATAGACAATTGGTTTTGTTTTCCGTTGGCTTTTCTGCAGACACATGTTCTCGGAGGCTTTCCTGGATCAATGTTTGATTTATCCAATTGCAAAGTTGCAAGCATTTGTTGTGTTGTCCGGTGTTGGCGGTGGCTGGAATTACACTAACATCTTGTCCACCCTCCCTCTTGTTCTTCCGAGCTTTGAGCAACTACTCGGGGTCCGCACTGCAAAGCAGCAGTGGGCCTGCCCATTAGAAAGCTTCCCCTTCCTTTTTCTGGTTCTTGCCCGACACCACAGCTACACGAGCATCCCAGATGTTGTCGTGGATCCTAGAAACACGAAGCCATGGCGAGCTCTTTTTCTTTTGGTTGTGAGAGTTGAACGTGCTACGCAACTCACGCTGTGCAACAAGAAGACGATGGCTTCACCCAACTGAGCAACTGCAGGTTCTCGGACATTGAGTGCCCCGCGGATTGCGTGGCTGCCATCTACAACGTTTTGTCTAGAAGGCAGGGGACGGCCCGCGTGGCAAGTCGGCCTAGCCGACTGGCAATTGGCCACAAGCGGTGGGATTGCAGGTGAGTTGTTGACACCCAATGGTTCGACATAGCTGCCGTGAATGCTTTTAAAGGCTATATCACCATTAATGATGTCGGGGCTCTTCCGTTCGGCCATTGACCCGGGGGCCCCTCGCATACGTTGTGCCAATGTCTAAAGGAAACCTCGATGAGCCCGCATGTCGATTGTGTTGACACAAGGTTGTTTCAGCCTCAGAAAACCACAAGGGTCGAACAGTTGGTTTGCCTTACCTTTGGTTTCCAATCAGGGCTCAGAACGGGGGGCAACCCTGAATGCCCCTTGCAACCCACGGCTTGGTTCTCACTGGATCCTGCGGTTCATTCCCAGCCTTGAAATTCCCAGCTTGTAACTCGGTTAAAACCGTGGGTTGGTGACTTCACTGTACTTGGCATGCCTCAGTTTGGGGTGGCCTCAAAAAAAGATTGGTGGTCGGGTGACCCAATCGCCCAGTAGACCTCTTGGAAACGGATCGGTTGTGCATGAACTCAACAGGTGGCGCCCTGTTGCTGGTTCCCCGGGGGCTTGGAGCAACCCAGAAGACATGTTTGCTTGCTGCCGGGAGCCCCCCACTTGTGAAAAGTTGTGGATTTTCCAGCTGCCAAAGTGCACAGCGAGTGCTACGCTTGGACTGGGAAGTGGCAATATTGCGTAGCTCTATACAAATTGTTGCGTAGGCGCGCAGGCAGGCGTCTGGTCAACTTGGTTTCGTGTAGTGGTTTCGTGTCAGAAAGCCCCACGCAACGAAAAAAGCTGCCCAGATGTCCAAAGCCGAGCTTTTGAGCTTTTGGCTTTCCATTTTGGTCCGTCCCAACAGGCCAGTTTTGCATTTCCAGATCCATTGGGCCCTAGGTGAGTTCGGGAGCTTTCTCCGTGCAGGCGTGGCCACGTCATTCGAGACTTGCCCAAACCCGGGAGCCCCATGTACTCGGCGCGGCCGCCCAGAGGGCGGCGAGTGTTGGGTCGCTCGGTCTGGTGGGTTTGGTTCGCCGCAGCCTTTGGTTTTTCCCAAGGGAGACGTAGGAACCCATGGGTATCCATGGGGATCAAGGTGTTGTTTTTTGTTTTTTGTTTTTCCCCCCCAAAAAAATGTGGGGGCTTTAGCGGCGAATTGTTTTGTGATATCATGTGATATCCAGGGAATCAGCTGAGATTTGGACCAAACAACCAACCCACACACCCACACAACCAACCAGCTCCACCCAGCCAACCAACCAGCCAAATACGAAGAAGGAGCTATAGATCGTTGTGAAGGTTTAGCAAAATTGGCAGATGCCATGTGCTTCATCGAGCATGCCCATCATCTGCTGCAGGCAACTGTTGAGCAAGGAACCAAGCAAACGACCAACGTGCCGTTCAATTCCCTACCAGCCATTCCCATGACAGACATTTAGAGTCTATGTTGCACCCCCTTCTCCCCTGTTTTGTTGGGCTTGTAGGCACTGGCACAGATCCCCCCAAATGTCCGAGACCCCGTTAAATTGCAACCACTCCAAGGGGGGTTAAAAGGGAAAAAAAGAAACCTCAAAGGTATTGAGATGACCTCTCCCTTTAGTTGGGTTGCCGTTCCCGAAAAGATGGCCAAGGGGGGGGTTCTCGTGAAAAATACCCTCACGGGGGCGAACTCTGTTTTGAGAACACCTCCCTTGGCATTTCGAGTCACCAGGGGTTTTCCCGGGCCAACTTTGGCACAGATCCCCCAGGTGCACGCCTTCCTCCCGGCCATGGAGTCCTTTGGCTTCGAGACGGACCTGCGGACACACACCTCCGGCCAGGCGAAGCGATTGGAATGGGGCCTTCCCCAAAAAACGGCGGGACGGCCTGTTGGTTCACTGATCAAACCCAAGACGTATGCCCAAAATGCAGGAAAATCGGCGGGTTCTTTTTGATGCCCCCTTTAGAGATAGCTCAGTTTTGTTGGTCTCAACATGGTTCCTTGAACATGATTTGCCGCGTAGCTTCCTTTTGCGCCGCAAAACCATCAGATAGCATGTGCCGATGCATGCGAAATAGCAGGTTTCCCTATGTTGTCCTTTTAACGCATGACCTTTTGGAATCCCCACTTTCAAGTGAGCTTCCTTTGCTGTGGGGATCTTTGAAGGCATCGTTCTATGCGGTGGTTGGGACCTTTGGTCAGCATTAGCATTGGTTAGGAGGCGTCGGTGTATGTCCCAGCGCACATTATTTTTCCCCAGGACAGGGGTGTTGGTATGAGCCGCTGAAGACCCAAACGTCCAAGCAACCCGACATGTTCTTCAAGAGTAATTGTTTGCTTTGCTCGTTTGGGTTTTTTTGTTTGTGGACATCATTCCGATAAGGATTCCAGCCATCAACTCTCACCATCTCGGATGCGCCTGACTTGGATTGCTAGGCAGCACATCTGAGTGAGGTGGTTGGTCTTCAGAGCGATCGGTTCCGGCCTTTCTCCTTAGATTCCAGGCTTTGTCTCAAATCAAGCAACCAGACAGGTTTGTTTTTGCTCGTTTCAATTTGGTTGACCCGAAACCCTCCAACTTCCAAGTGTTTGGAAAATGAAGTGGTTTCTCAAGTAATTCACCAGCAACCAGTTAAAGTATGGTTTTTGTGTTCAGCTGAGTTAGATGTGAGCATCTCAGAATTTTTTTGTATCTCTACCATAGTGATGCGAGAGCAACCAATTTATGTTTTTGCAGGTGCCTGATGACGAGTTACTTTGGGTATGTGTTTCAAAATGAGAGGTTGTGCGAACGTTGGTTTCCCTTTAAACCTTGTTGGTTTCCTTGTTGGTTTCCTTGTTGTCCCTTTAAACCGTTTTACAGGTCTGTGTTTCCTTGGTTTGCCTAACCAGCCTGAATCACGACTCGGGCGGCCGAAAATCGCAGGCGATGTGTCAGACCTTCTTTGATCACTGGGAGCACGTCCCGGGGGATCCGCTGGATCGCTCCATCCTATTGTCGGAGCCCCGGAAGGAGTCGAGCCCAAGGGCGCGTGCAGGGCGGTTTCGGCTGGTGTTTTTGTTTCTCTCGAGAGATGGGGAAGCGAGAAATGGTTGGTGTGCTTTTGCTAGTCAAGCAACCAAAAGGGAGTTCCCCCTATCAGGGCACACCGATTCTAGTTGGGCGTCCCAGTTGCTCAGTGGGTTCGCTGAAATTCCACCAAGTCTGGTTGTTTGTAAAAATCCCTGCCCAAAAACTGAGCCAACTTCAGAAAGGCTTCCCTAATTCTACTACGACCACTGGGAAACTGGCTCGTTGTTCCTTTCGCCAGTGTACGTTTGTTGAATATGAGTTGTTCCTTCCCCCTCTCCCCCAATGCTTTGTCTTTGTCCTTGCTCCTTTGCTCCAGTCTTTCTTTGTATTGCGTCTTGTATCCTGAGATTCCTGTCAAAGTTCCCTATGCTAGCTGCCAAGAGCACTTGCCGTTGACCTTGCAAGCACTTTGAGTCTACATCACTTGCCAGGCTCAAGAAAGACGTCGGCCCCCGGCTCACCTTGGGAAAGCGGCGTGTCCTTTTTTTGGTTTCCCTTGGTCCCCAATTTGAAGCCACGCCCGGTCAATACCGGCACACCCGTTGCGTGCGGAAAAACAAATATCAGGCGGCCCCTGGAGCCGGCGCCGGCGCCCCACTTGGCGCGGGAGTTCATGCTGAAGATGCGGCGAAGGAAGGGGCTCAGCGAGGTGCGGTCCTTGGGGGGGGGGGGGGGGGCTGCCGGGAAATGGGGGGTTCTTTAGGCTGGGGGGGGGGCGGGGGGTACCCGAAAAACCATGGCCCGGTAATTAGTTGGCTTCCAGTTGCTGCACAAATACATGTCCTTGTTGGTTTTCAAGGGAGTCTGTCACTGCTGGAAATATATTTTTTCTTCCTAGGGAGCTTGAGCAAGTGGAAGTTGGTGACAAGGGCCCCAACAGGACGTTTTGGATGTGGCGTTTCCATTCATCCTAGAAAAGGTCTAAGGACGTATTGCTCAGAAAGGAGAGAGAGTTTCTGCCTCTGGAAGGGTTCGTGCACTTCGTGCCCAACCAGTCAGGAATTGTTGGTATCCTTCTTAAAGGTTGGTTGAAAAGTCTCATTTGGGCACATACCCACAAGGGAAACATCGGTTGCAGCCAACCAGTACGTTGGGACATGCATTTATTTGGGGGGGGGGGACAATTTTGTGACTTGGGACATAGGACAATTGGTTGCACCAAATGTTTAAGACACTTTGTTATTGGGTACATTTATCAAAATATCACTCTGAAATCGAGGCTACTTGCCACAATGCAGCTCTTATTGGGGGACAATACATCGTCCATGGCTCCGAGAAGGTTGCAAGGGCCTGACTGAAGGGAATCTACCCTTAGAGGGCGCCTGGTCATTACGATGTCTACATGGATTGTAGGGCTACTTTCCATGATTTTCAAGCCCCCCTGGTGACAAAGTCATAGGAATGGCCTTTGGTATCATACGGGTTTTCCACATGTGGCCTTCACCCACTACACTCCAGTTCCTCAGTATCTCCTGTTTCCCCTTTTTGGTCAACCCAAAGGGGGTTTTTGCTTGGTCAACCCAAGACGGGGGTCCGTTGTCCCTGTCACTGAGCGTCAGGATGTGTCGGTGCACAAGTTCTTTGATGACCCGATGCTCCTGGAGTTGGCGAAGCAGGAGAGGTTCGAGATCGCGGGCAATGCTTAATCTCTGCCTTGGGTTGCGAAAGGGGGAGCTTTGCCTTTGCACCATAGGGTTCCCTTTTTGGAACCTCCAAAATGGCAATTTGCATGGAAACCACGAGTAAACCTTTGAAGGGGAAACCCAGCCCTCTAAGAACCCCTTGTTAATAACCCCTGCCAATAGCCAATGCTAAGCAACAAAAGCTTGGTTCGTTTTGGTGCTCCAAAGAACAAGCCTGGAGCCTGACAATTCCTCCCGCCCTCCGCCCCTCCCCCCCCTCTCCCCCCCCCCTGCTGGAAGGCTAATGACCTCTATCCCTAAACGGATTTAAAAAGGAGGATATTGTTTATGATTCTATGATGTTATGATCAAGACTGCGGTTATTATGTCAGGACCCCCGCCCCAGTGATGTCCCAATGTGAGTGAGTAGAAGGGGAAGCATGTCAAAGCCATGAGCTATGGAGAAATGAGGCGCAAGCTTGTGTGTGAAAAGCTTCTGCTGGGTTGGGACAATAAGTGTATTGGATCATATTGGGTCATGTCCATGGTTTCCCTTCAAGGCGTCCAAAGCCGAACTAGACTTTGAGACATGTATTTGTGTTGTTTGGTTTAGTAAGCGCTGGAACCAAAGTGCAAGTTCGAACTTTCAAATTATTTGCATTTGAAGAGAAAGCGGAGACTTGACTGGTTTGTGGGTTTCGTTGCCCTATGCGGACATAGCATGAGCTCACCGTTGCATTTGCCAGTCTGGTACCCTGGCCATTGTTGGGCAGGCTCACCTTCAATTCAACAAACACCACGAGCACAGCCTCCCAGCAAGACATGTTTGCTTTTCAGCAGCAACGAACAACAACGGAAAATGACTTGCAAAGCGGCCTGTTGATAATTTTCGCCCGGCCGCGAACTTTGGATTGTACCCGCTTTGGATTCTGCAGATTTGATAGTCAAAAGCCAAAGTTGCGCACCCCAACCTCAAGCCACAAACGACAAGGGCAGAAGTCTGGTATTGGGTCCTCTTGCCTTCCTTTTCCGTTGAGGCGCAACACTGAAACGGGTCCTTTTGTTGCGCCACCCGCCTATATTTTTGGGAACCCCTTAGCCCCACCCTACAAATAGGGGGCTGTCACACACAAAGTGAAGATTTCCCACTAAAACAGGACACCTCCCCTGTTAATCACCGGGAGGGTTGTTAATCTGAGTTCCCATTAGTCGGCTTTTGGGCTGGCGCGTGGTTTCTTGCGAGGATGCCGAGCTCAGCTCCTACTTCTGAGAGCCCTCTTGTGGAGGGCTCCTTATGGGGACAGGCAGGCAGCGAGGCAGCCCCCCCAAGCAGCATGCACGTTACTGGAAACCAAACATATGCACATCGTGCAACAAGAGCGTACGTTGATTGCAGGAAGACAGCGAGCTGGTTTATGAGGAAGCATAGAAAACGCTGAACATTCTGGCTTGTTGCCATTGCCATTGGTATTACCATGTTCAGGAGGGCCATCTGAGGAATGCCAGAGAAGATAAACGCAAAAGGAAGTGATTTGAAAGACGTGGCTCCGCAAGCAACGCAAGGCCCCCCGTTTTGGCAACATTCCGGCAAGGTCCCTCTCCCCCCTCGTAGCGGCTGGGATGCGGAGAAAAGGGGCGAGTGTGCGAGTTGAGTTCCGTGGCTAACCAAAGGGTCCCAAAAGCGGCTCCAGCTGATTCCTGGAACCCACTCAAGTCCTCACTCTGAGTTCCTGGATTCCTTTTGGGAGGACCATTTGGCTGGTCACCAAAACGGTTGGGTCTTTTTTCGGCCGATCCACCCAGGAAGTGAGACTTAGAACTCATGCGTCACCCAACATTCCTGCAAACAGTTCCAACTTCACTGGAGGTCCTGGAGGTCTGGGGCTTGCTTGACTCCCCATGCGAAGCGGACTTGCCAGAGGAGAGTTACCACCAGTTGAGAGTTTTTTCAGCTTGAAGCTTGGGGTCTGTGCCCAGGTTTCCTGTGGGGATACACTCCCACTAATTAAGATGGAACCTGATGTTCGGGGTGGTCCTGGAAAAAAACTGTCCCTTTAAAGGGACCAGGTCCCGAACGGCCAGGTGCATCCACTCACTGCATCTTTGAAAAAGCGTGCCGCCGCTTCAGTTTTATCCTGTGGGCGCGCCAGCGGGACTTCTTTCGCGAGCCATGGCCGTCCCGTGGCTTTTGCTGCTGGCTGCAACCGTTGGAACCCCCCGGGCGCAGCCCTGGGTGTCGGTGAGCCACCACGAGAGAGCACCCAAGGTGGAGGCTCGGTGGCAACGTTGCGAATTGCTTGCTGTCATTAGCTCCGCAACATTCCGCGACAGTAGACAGCAAAGCGGGAGATAAAAGGAATGGCCTGGCCATACCTGAACATTGGCCCAAAACGGATGCTAACACCTTTCAACACGCTGGCACACAGTTTCATCGTGTTGACAACCAGGCTTGAATCAGCAGTAAAACCTCTTGGGCGCATGTGTTGTGTTTGTTTTGTGTTGTTGTTGTGTTTGTTTCTTGGTATTTAGTGGCTGGTTGTATTGGCTGTTGTCCCATCAATATGCAGATATACATATTATATAATATATATATATATGTATACATGCATATATACCATGTTTTCCCGTTTTTGGTTGGTGCAGCCATGAACTAGGCGAACAACACTCGCTATGATCTTAGCCAGTTTGAACTTTCTAACTGAAACCTCCGGCTCTCCGGGTCAGTTACTGATGGAAGGGGGAGGCACCCCAATGAAGACCTTTTCCCCATAGCGGGTCCCCTTTCAAATTGCATGGGACGCATAACTAGGTCCCCCAGTAGTGCCCTCTTACCCTTTTTTTGGGGGAGGGTTCCCCTACTAATCAGACTACAGAAAAAAGTTGGTACCCTTTTTCTAACCTCTCTACTGGAGGACCTCGTAATCACTTCTTCCTAATTATAAAGGTTGCCCTAATAATAAAAACCCTCCTCCAGAATTCAAAAATCCGGCAATACTACTTTTAGAATAGGCCAATACTAAACCAATTCTAAACTACCCATTTTGACCGATTTTCCCGTTCGTCCTCCAAATCATCCGTATTAGGGGTACCTTTTTTTGCCCTGACTTCCCTTCAAAATAACTTCCCTGACTTCCTATCATCCATGAGTTCCCTTCACCCTGTGGCCCGCGCTGCCTGCTCCGCGGCCTGCCTTTTGACTTGGAAGTCTGGTTGTCTGGCTGTCTTCGCAGGTGGCTTGGGTAGCTGGCTGTCTGTGCTTACATTGGCAAGTAGGGGTCACTCTCTCTCTCTCTCTCTATCAAACACACCCTCATACGCACAAACCCACTCTCACACACCATCAACAACACAAAACCCACTCTCACACACCACGAACATACAAACACAAAAACCCACTCTCACACACAGACACACACTCAAACACACAACACTCAAGCACGAGGTTTCCCCCCCAGAAAAGGGTCACCGTTTCCATTTAAATCCCTTACTTAAAAAACAATCAGTTGAATGGTTTTTGGTGTCCGGAAAGGGGGGAACACATTCCCACTGACAACCAATACTAAAACCAAGCTACTCCCAAATGCTGCCCTAAAGTTCTGAAAACTGAACAGGGGACCCCTGATTATAAAAACCTCGGGGGTTTTCTATATTAGGGGGGGACGTTTTATATTAGGGGGAAGCGATTATGTATCAGTTTTGTTTTATCGAGCTTGGCGGTTAAGTGAGGAGCTCATGAAGCTTAGATGAACATCTCCCAAGCGGGGGGGACCCCCTTTTGGGTTCCTTCTGTCAGAGTATCATACCGGACGCCACGAGACCCAAAAAGGACACCAACGCGCCCAGGACACCCAAGCGCTGGGCAATCTGAAGGAGACGAAGGTCTTGGAGAAGCAACGCGCCAGGTTGTGAGTTGAGGCAATGAGAACCCCGAAAGTAAGACACCCCTGAGAAATGACTAGGGAAACCCCCCTTTGAGTGGCTCATTACTTTGGAGGGCGAGAACCCAGTTTGTATTGAACGGTTTCTACTTAAATCCGGGGTCAACATTACCCTTCCAACATGGGTGCGAAAACCCTCCCGTCTGGAAGACCGCTTTCCTTTTCTGGAAACGAGGTCCTGTGCGCTATGTGACAAGCACCTAACATTCTGGAGCTGAGTGGCCGCCTGTGTGCAGGGTAGTGCAATGCCACTAACAGGTGTGCTCTTGTTGCGTTTCGCATTTGATTGTTTGTGAAGTGGAAGTAAAGATTTGGTTCTTCAATCAAGCCAACGGAAGGAACACGTAGTATCATCGCATTATCTCTTGGAGGTTGAACCCGTTTTTGGCAACACCCTGTAGCACCATCCGCCCAGGCAGCAATTGGACCTCAGCATTACTCGGCAGCACGCTTTGGTGGCATCTCTCACGGTGGGCACGCCCCCACAGAAGCCTGGCTTGGTTATTGTTGTTTTCCCGGATTCCTTGTTGGTTTTTCTTTTTTTTTGTTGTGTGTGTGTGTGTGTGTTTGTGTGTTTTGCTTTGTTATGTTGCTTGTTTATTTGTTCTTTGTGCTTCGTGCTGTTTGTGTGCCTCTTTTTGCGTGTGCCTGGTTGTGAGCTTGTTTGATTGTGTGTGCGCGTGCTGCGTTGAGTTATGTGATGCTGTTTGCTTCCGGTTGTGTGTATGTGCGCGCATGTGTGTGTGTGTGTGTGGGTGTGTGTGTGTGTCTGTATGGTTATGAGTTTGTTTGTTGATTGATTGCTACTGTATTGCCTTGATCGCGTGCTTGTGGGTGTTTGCTTTGCCCATTGTCGTTGCCTCGTGTGTGTGTGTGTGTGGGTGTGGGCGTTCTCTGGGCGGTTCCTAGCTTGGGTTTTTTGGTTTCTACAGGTTTAGTCAGTGCTTGTTTCCATTCAACCCACTACAAGTCCGCACTTCTAGCAGATCAGAGAACGGACAGCTCAGCTTTGCATGATCTTCCATAGTGACCTTTGCGACACGCGACCATAGGTGTCCTTTTTGTTTGTTTTGGTCGAAGAATAGATGGCGATTCCTGGTTTACCTGGTGGTTTCATCTACCAGACCCATCTATTTCCCCAAAAGGACGCCTACGGGACTCGCGAGTGAAACAGGAAGATGACCTGCCTCCTGGACACCGGCAGCTCAGACCTGTGGCTGCCCTCCAAGCGCTGCACAAGCTGCCAGCGACTTACCTGGCGCTATACGCGGCGCTATACGCGGGGGGCAAAAAGGGCCCAACCCTTTCGGGACGTGCTGTGTTGCAAGGGTGGCCTTTTGAGGATTGCCAGTCAAGGAACAGGGCCCCTTGTCACTTCAATTCAAGCCCTTCCCCCCCCCCTCTCAGAAAAAAATAAAAGAAACTATTTCCCTCAGACCAAACTGACCGGCGTTCCTCCCTCCAATTGGCACCAACAATAAAACCATGCACTCTTTTTTTTTCCCCCGACCCGTACGAGGAACCCGCACATGTTCCACGCGGACCGGTCCTCTAGCTTCAGCCCATCTCTGGTGGACTCGCCCCAGGGCAAACGCCCCATCGCGGTGAGGGTGAGCTACGGCACCGGGGAGATTGTCGGGTACAAGGCAAAGGTCTCAAAAACCAAAAGGGGGAACCTACCTTGGTGGGTTTCGCAGCCATCCGCCTCCTTTTAGGTTTTTTGGTTTTGAGGATTGCCACTAAAAGTTCCACTTTTGATGCGGGGTTTGCAGGTGCGGGCAGCTGCAAAAGGAGTGTGTTGTTTCCCTGTGGTGTTGGTTTCCTTTTGGAGTTGCTTTCCCTTTCTTGTTGGTTTCCGGTGTGTTTTTGCTGAGGGTACCTTTGGGGGTTTAAGGAAACCACAGCTTTCTGTCCGCAGTCCGCGGGTCCAAAAGCAGGTGAGGTCTCAAAATAAGGGAAGCTAGGAAAAGGTGTCAGTCTCAATCTGGTTCTCTTTGGGGCAAAATCTAAAGAATGGCATTCATGGTCAAAACAACTTGATTCTGTTTCCCTGTTGGTTGCATTCATTGCCAAAACAACTTGATGTTGTGTCCCTTTCGGTTTCCCTTTGAAACACGGCCTTCAAAGGGTAGCCTCAAAAGAAAGATACACCCAAGTGGAGGGTGAGGCCAGGGGGGCCAGACGCCCGTGTCACACGTTTGCGCAGGTGCAAGATACCGTGACCTTCGGCGGAGCTGAGATCAAGCAGCTCGAAGCACTCGCGCCATGTGAGCAATCAAAACCCGGGGATTGATGAAGGTTAGCTAGGTCTCCCAGTAGTGCCCTGTTACCCTTTTTTTGGGGAGGGTTCCCCTACTAAAATAGACTACAGAAAAATGGGTACCCTTATTCTAACCTCTCTACTGGAGGACCCAGTTAGAAAGGGACAATCCCAACCAGAAATAGCTGCGGAAATCCGCCTTCTTAATTCTTTAAGCATGGTTCTGGGTAGACCATTTGAATACCGGTTTTTGATTATGACTTATGTGAGTTTCTGAATCAACCTGGTTTCATAAGAGTATTTACAGTAGATGACCCTTCGGGTGGTTGGTTTCCCTTTTGGGTTGCTTGTTAAAGCCATCCCAAAAGGGGTTCCCTATTTTGAGAAACACTCAGTTTCATAAGGATAGCCCTGCACTCATGTTTATGCTGGTAGCCTGGTAGAACCAACATGCTGTTGAACCAACAGTCAACGGTTTTCGGGCGCTGATTTGCGAGGGTGGTCCCTTTAACCTCAAGCAGCAAAAGGAGGGTGCCGTTGTTTGGCATGGTCACCGGAGGTTTGGGCCATGGTGAAGCTTGAATCTGTCTAAAGGGTCCTGGTACCTTCAAACGCTTTGCCATGTCTTGACCCGCTCTTGCAAGCAATCCTCCAAATGACAACTTGTCTTTGTTGGGATGTCAAGGGCATTGGAAGAAAACCTATCTTGTCCGACCTGAGCTGACAATCCGTTTTGGGTGCAGGTCACAAAGGAGTACTCAAATTGCCCTCAAGTGGTGGAGGTCAATCCAATTTGTCCATGTCACCTTGGGAAACATGGAACAATTGCCCCTGGCTCGTGATTCAGGAAGGTTTTCCCAAATCCTCAGGCGGTTGTGACACATGGATTTGGCATGGAGGTTGAGCCACTCATCTCAAATTGACTAGCACTGCTGCGAGTTTGTGGCCGCCGAAACTTTTGGCACTGGTGTTTTTCACGAATCATGACACATGCGTATGTATGAGATATTGATGTGAGGCCATTTGTTTTGGGTACTCGTAGGTATGTTCTCCCAAGACACCACCCGCTGGGAGCAACTGAGCGCTTTCTCCGATTCAATGAGTGCGTTGTTCATATTCTGCGGGGTCAATGGTTCAGTGGCACCCATTGTCAGACGCAGGCACCGACCAGACGGAAAAAAACAAAGAAGGAACATCAAGAAAACAAACTCAATAAACTTGTTTGGCGTCGGAAGCCCTCGTGGCCTCGTTTGTTCCAATTTTGCCAGCAAGTGAACCTGTTGCATCTAAGTCTTCCAAAGCATATATTCTACTATTTCTCTCATGGGAGCAGCGGAAGTTGCTTTCTGTGTGCCTTTCACTTTCAGCCCAGGAACCAGACGTTCATCATCGTGGAGGACCGGTCCGGGACATGTCCACTTCCCTGGAAGCTACCGCTGGTTACTAGCATCGTGCGTTTTGTTGGATGATGCCCTTTTATCCTCTTTTTGGGTTGGTTCATTAAGGCGGAAACCGAGAGGAAGCCACCCATTGGCATTTTGAAACAAACCCATGTGTTAAAGGGGAACAAGAGGAAAACAACTCATTTTGAGGGTCCCCTGATTTGAGATTACCTCGTGTGCTGTTTGGTGGCCAATCGACGAAAGCAGGACCTGGGGGCATGAGATGTAATTCGTTCTACGAACAAGCTGAGAATTATGTTTGTTTAAGAATTCAATCAAGCATCAAGGAAGATACCAAAAACACCAAAACGGGTGTATGCGTGTCAAAACTAGGGCCCACTGTTGGTGTCCTATGATATAGGCACTTACCTTTCACGCACAGCCAGCTTCTGCACGTCAGAGGTTTAAAAGTTTCACTGGCGAGTTCCAGATGTCCATTTGGACGGCAACTAGTGTGGCCAAGCTAGTTCACGTTTTTTTTTTGCCACAATCAAATGGTGGAATGTGTTGAGGCAATACGCCCACACGCACCCCCACACACACACACACACACACACACACACACACACACACACACACACACACACACACACACACACACACACACACACACACCATGACGCATCATGGTGCTTCTCGTTGTGACTTTAGCACTTGTCCCATGTGGGTGTTTGGTTTCCAACATCGCCAGAGATTTGGTGCCCATGCCCGGAGACTTGGCGCTTTGCAAAAAATGCGGCGGGGTGATGGACGCTTTGAACTTGTTGCTTTGAAACCATGACCCCTACAGGGCACCACATTTTTTTTTGTTTAGCCTCCTGTTCCGCACAAGAGAAAGACGAGTGCGGTGCCGGTGCCGGGGTGAACATCACTTAAATGTTCGGCTTCCTCCCCTCCTGGAGCGCAAGGCACACAGGGCATACCGACGAAATACCCCAGCCAAAAGGATCGCCAGAACAAAAAATAAGAAGTGCGCTATCTCTCCTAAATTCAGAATGCCGTTTTGGGTTCGTTTGAACATCACCTTTTTGGTTGCCTGCGTCTTTGCGGACCTCCAAGAAAGGGAGCTACACCCAGTTGGCGCCAGGGGCAGCCAACACTTGGGTTGCCAATATCCAGAAGGTGTTTGCTTTTCGGCGAGGTGGTTTTGTCAGGAACGTACCACCAAACATAGAAGCATCACAAAGCAAGAACAACAAAGAAAGGCCAACACACGACAATCACAATTAAATAGCTCGAAAGCAACACAACACAAAGCCAACACAACAAACATCCAACAGACACCCACACACAACCCCTCCCCTCCCACCCGGCGCAGGACGCCCAACTCCCAGGGGACCGGGACTGGGACGGCATTTGCGGCTTGGGATGGGCCTCCATCGCGCAGCTGGGCCACCCGCTGTACGAGCGCCTGCAGGAGATGGGCCGCAAGGCGCGTTTTTTTTTCCGCCTCCTCCTTTTCTTTGTTTTTTTTTGTTTCGGCGGAAAAAAGGCGCAGGGGTCCCCAGAAGTTTTCAGGTAGTCCTTAGTGAACTGGTTTGGAGTGGTGGGTGAGGATTACACAAGAAATTTTCGCAAAGGCATCACAGGCGAAAAATCAGACTGGTGGTTGTCCTTTTGGTTTTCCTGGAAGCCAACCTTACGGGCCTAAGCCAACCTTAGGGGCCTTCTCCAAAAGGATTTGGTAGTGTCGTTTTTCAAATGTACCAAATTGCTAGTGGTCGCTTCGCAAGTTTAGGACAAGGCCATTTTGTATGGGGGGACGAAACAGACACGTAGGCAGAACCATAACTGTGATTTTTGTTGGTACCCCAGATATACAGATGTGGGCCAAGGGAGAGGCTTGCCCTAGGTGTTCCAAAAGGAACAATGATGTTTCCGTTGGGGTCCCTTAAGGTGGTTACCTTGTGAGGGATAACCCTGTTGTGTCGTTTCGGTTGCTTAGCCAAAGACCAAACATAGAACTGCACAGGGCCCTTTGTGTAAAGGAGGGTGGGGGTGGGGGTTCATTTGATTGAATCACCAGTGAGCTAAAGGTTCCTTACATTTCCTGAACATCAGAGACATGGGGACTTCTGTCTCACTTCCTGCCTTCCTGCACTCAATACTTTTTGGGAACCATATCTACTCAAGAAGTGAGATGTCCTTCTTTTGGAAGGTGCTTGCCACGAAGCTTATATCGAAGTGGGCGAACCGTTTTTTTTTGGCTTACCTTGTTTAACGACCGAAATAGAACTTTTGCCCAATTCGGCGTGTCTCAAAGCGTTGAGCCCCCAACATGAGTGTTTCCATTTGGCTTCGAGTTAGACAAGATGGGGCTGACACATAATTGGAGCCAAATTGAAGAGCCGGTGCCGCAACTCCACTGACAGGACTTGGGAATCCCCCCTCGCCGGCCATGCATAGAGGGTGGGCCACATGCCAAACATATTTTCCAAGGCGTGTTTCGGGGGCGTGTTTTTGGCCAGAGGGTGTGGATGACTTGGGGCCTAAGAGTTCCGGAAAATGGAGGAAAGGACACGTGTTTTTCTTTGAAGCCCTCATGCAAGGAAACTTGTGCTTGAATGATTGGCTGGCTTGACATTCAGAGCATCCAGCGCATCGCTCTACGGGTGGTTTGGCATAGCGGGATACGACTGACATGTTGTAATTGACAAAGACAGCAACCAATTCAGAATATTATATATATATATATATATTAACACTTGTTTGGCAGCCATTTATACACATGTAACATGTTGCCATGTTCGTACATGTGCGAGCACTAGCATTGTGTTTGAAAACAGGGCTTAGTCCTTTCGGCTTTCCAGCCTCGTGCTGTCTTGGAGCCTGTGTTGACTCCCTTTGACTGCACTCATCGTGCTGGCGCTCAGCAGGGAATGAGGGAGGGACCCCGAGGAAAACCATCGCCTATGGTGTCCTTTAAGAGAATCCAGCTTTTCAGGTGTGTGGGTTTTGCTTTTGACAGGAAACATTTGGGTATGGTTCAGTCTGGGGTCATTTGGCCATGGTCAAAAGCCAAATCGTACCCCCAGTGCACATCCCAATCCCCACTAGATTGGGCTCCAAAATGGTGAATTCACCTGCCAACCAAAATGGGATCCCAAAACGGTTTTGACAACCACAGGCAGGCACCCTCCAGCTCCCCGTCCGCCTCTCGAGTCGAGAGGCGATCTTCTCCTTCGTACCGGAGGGCACCACCTCGTCGCACATGGCCCTGGGCCAGGCCGAGCCGAGTGACGACGCGGTTGGACGTGGAACCAACAGACCCGGGTCATGTGCAGAGGAACTCCATAGGTGCGCTTTGGATCGGCTAGCGTGGGTACAAATAGACGTTTTGTTTGTTTGTTTGTTTGTTTGTTTGTTTTTTTTGTTCTTTCTTCTGGTTTCGAGGCAGTTTATTCCATCCAGGGCCGTCTACGTTTCCAAAAGGCCACCTATGAGAGGAACCTGGACCCGTTCGACCCTTGGGCGGGGGGGGGGGACAAAACAAGCAAAGCGCAAACACACAAACAAAGTCAAACAAAGAACCATCATAACTTATAATAAAACACCAACACCTCGAAGCAAACAAGATAACAATATGTAGAAACGAGGATGCCAAATAAACACAGCGAAAGCAAGAAAACTCAACGCAACCTGTTCAACGAGCGATTCAGGTTCCCAGCTACGCCATCAAGCCGGGCAGCCTTGTGTGGACTCCCACCGAGCACCTTCACGGCCGGGCAAGTGGGCGGCAAGGGTCGGGTCCGACGGTCGGTGGGTTTTGGGTCCGTTGGTTGGTTGGGTGGCGTTGGGCTTCCCCTTTAAACCATCCGAAAGGAGGGGTTGATTGGGTTGGTTTTTTTTTGGTTTGGGTTGGGTTAGCTTGCTGTTGGTTGGCTTGTTGGCTGGCTGGCTGGCTGGCTGGCTGGTTGGTTGGTTGGCTGGCTGGCTGGGTGTCTTTTTGTTAAAGGGGGGCCCTATTGTGAGACACAGCTGGGCGTTCCAAGATTCCTTTTTTGAGCGCGGTTTTCCGATATAGAGTCATTATGAACTGGATTTCGCCGCTCCATTTGGTACCTGGTAGGTCGTTGAGCTTGTTATGTCGAGATGTCGAGGAAGAGGTACTGGGTTGGTTTGGGTTTCGGGGCTGTGCAACTCGATGACTGCATGTGGCAGGGCTTGACCAGCTAACACCTCAGCTGGGCGGCGTGTGAGCCCACAGGCATGCTCAGGTGAGTAAAACGGTAATCAAAGACTGGACCCTGCAATCAGCTATTGGAGGCTGCGCCGCAATCACGTACAGCCAAACCCGGCAATCACGTACAGGTGAGCCCGGCAATCAGAAACGGGCTGCGGTGAGTTTAGGATTGGTTTGCGGTTAGTTCAGGGCTGGGTTGGGGTCGGTGTAGGGTTGGTTCAGGGTTGGTTTAGGGTTGGCTTAGGGTTGGTTTAGGGTGGGTTTAGGGTTGGTTTAGGGTGGGTTTAGGGCTGGTTTAGGGTTGGTTTAGGATTGGTTTAGGGCTGGTTCAGGGTTGCTTTGGGGTTGGTTTAGGGTTGGTTGGGTTTGGGGCTGGTTTAGGGACGGTTTGTGCGTGGTTCAGGTTTGGTTTAGGGTTGGTTTAGGTTCAGAGTTGGTTTAGGTTTGGTTTAGGGTTGGTTTAGGATTGGTTTAGGGTGGGTTTAGGGCTGGTTTAGGGTTGGTTCAGGGTTGGTTTAGGGTTGGTTTAGGGTTGGTTTAGGATTGGGTTTAGGGCTGGTTTAGGGCTGGTTTAGGGCTGGTTTAGGGTTGATACAGGGTTGGTTTAGGGTTGGTTTAGGGTTGGTTTGGGGTTGGTTTAGGATTGGTTGGTTTAGGGTGGGTTTAGGGCTGGTTTAGGGTCGGTTGGTTTAGGGCTGGTTTAGGGTTGGTTTAGGGTTGGTTTAGGATTGGTTTAGGGTGGGTTTAGGGCTGGTTTAGGGTTGAGTTGGTTGGTTTAGGGCTGGTTTAGGGTCGGTTTAGGATTGGTTTAGGGTTGGTTCAGGTTTGGTTTAGGGTTGGTTTAGGATTGGTTTAGGGTGGGTTTAGGGCTGGTTTAGGGTCGGTTTAGGATTGGTTTGGGGTTGGTTCAGGGTTGGTTTGGGGTTGGTTTGTGCGTGGTTTAGGATTGGTTTAGGGTGGGTTTAGGGTTGCTTCAGGGTCGGTATAGGGTTGGGTTTAGGGCTGGTTTAGGCTTGGTTCAGGGTTGGTTTAGGGTTGGTTTAGGATTGGTTTAGGGTGGGTTTCGGGCTGGTTTAGGGTTGGTTCAGGGTTGGCTTAGGGTTGGTTTAGGGTTGGTTTAGGATTGGTTTAGGGTTGGTTTAGGGCTGGTTCAGGGTTGGTTTAGGGCTGGTTTGGGGTTGGTTTAGGTTTGGTTTAGGGTTGGTTTAGGGCTGGTTTAGGTTTGGTTGAGGGTTAGGTTGGGGTCGGTGTAGGATTTGTGCAGGGTTGGTTTAGGGCTGGTTTAGGGTTGGTTTAGGGCTGGTTCAGGGTTGGTCTAGGGTTGGGTTTCGGATTGGTTTCGGCTTTGGTTCAGGGTTGGTCTAGGCTGTGTTTGGGGTCGGTTTGGGCTTGGTTTAGGCTTGGTGTAGGGCTGGTTTGGGGTTGGTTTAGGTGTTGGTTGAGGGTTGGGTTGGGGTCGGTGTAGGGCTGGTTTGGGGTCGGTTTAGGTTTGGTTTAGGGTTGGTTCAGGGCTGGTTTGGGGTCGGTTTGGGCTTGGTTTGGGCTTGGTGTAGGGCTGGTTTGGGGTTGGTTTAGGTTTGGTTTAGGGTTGGTTCAGGGCTGGTTTAGGGTTGGTCTAGGGTTGGGTTTTGGATTGGTTTCGGCGTGGTTTAGGGTTGGTTTAGGGTAGGTTTAGGGTAGGTTTAGGATTGGTTTAGGGTGGGTTCAGGGCTGGTTTAGGGTTGGTTCAGGGTTGGTTTAGGCTGTGTTTGGGGTTGGCTTGGGCTTGGTTTAGGCTTGGTGTAGGGTTGGTTTAGGGCTGGTTTAGGTTTGGTTGAGGGTTGGGTTGGGGTCGGTGGAGGATTGGTGCAGGGTTGGTTTAGGGCTGGTTTAGGGTTGGTTTAGGGCTGGTTCAGGGTTGGTCTAGGGTTGGGTTTAGGATTGGTTTCGGCTTTGGTTCAGGGTTGGTTTAGGCTGTGTTTGGGGTCGGTTTGGGCTTGGTTTAGGCTTGGTGGAGGGCTGGTTTGGGGTTGGTTTAGGTTTGGTTTAGGCTGTCTTTGGGGTTGGTTTGGGCTTGGTTTAGGCTTGGTGTAGGGTTGGTTTGGGGTTGGTTTAGGTTTGGTTTAGGGTTGGTTTAGGACTGGCTTAGGGTTGGTCGAGGGTTGGGTTGGGGTCGGTGTAGGGTTGATCTAGGGTTGGTTTAGGGCTGGTTTAGGGTCGGTTTAGGGCTGGTTCAGGGTTGGTCTAGGGTTGGGTTTCGGATTGGTTTGTGCGTGGTCCAATCATATTGGCCGGTTTGGTCAAGTTTGGTCGGGTTTTGTCGATTTTGGTTGATTTTGGTCGAATTTGGTCGCACGGGGTCGAGCGCTGTCAATTTTAACTGACTTCGAGTTGAGTTTGGTCGACTTTGGTCGAGCGCAGTGGTCCAATTTGGTCGGATTGGGCAGTTCATCGCCAGACTGAATTCGATCGGAAAATTCTTGAAATTTTCCGGTTGAATTCTCTAGGCTGAATTTGGTCAGATTTGGTCGGGTTTGGTCCAGTTTGGTCGAATTTGGTCGAGTTTGGTCCAGTTTGGTTTGGTCGAGTTTAGTTGGATTTTGCTCGATTTTGGTCGAATTTGTTCGAGTTTGGTCGGGTTTTGTCGATTTTGGTTGATTTTGGTCGAATTCAACCGGAAAATTCTTGAAATTTCCCAGTGCTATTCTCTAGGCTGAATTTGGTCAAATTTGGCCGGGTTTGGTCAAGTTTGGTCGGGTGTGGTCGAGTTTGGTTGAATTTGGTCGATTTTGGTAGAGTTGGGTCGAGTTTGGTCGGATTTTGCTCGGTTTTGGTCGAATGTGTTCAAGTTTGGTCGAATTTGGTCGAAAACCCTAAACCCAACCCTAAACCAACCCTAAACCAACCCTAAGCCAGCCCTGAACCCATGTCGTAAACCAACCCTAAACCAACCCTAACCCACGCACAAACCAAGCCCAAACCAACCCTAGACCAACCCTGAACCAGCCCTAAACCAACCCTACACCAACCCTCCAGTGGTGCCCTTGGCCATTTGTTTTTTTTTCCTTTGTGTTGGAGGGATCTCCCTTTGAACTTAGCTACCAAGAACAAGAGTGCCCTTGGCCACTGGAGGTCTGGGACTTGGACTTGGATGGCAGGCTAGGATCAGTCTAGATCCCTTTTCAGGGCCCCAAGGACACATTTGGGCCATCGCCTTACCTGCAGGTCCCCTTTACTTGTAAGGCTACAGTACATGTCAGGAGTGACGTGATGTCCCTTTTCAAGCAATGTGGAATCCAGAAAGAGGGCTCCTCTTAAGGCAAACATAATTTTGAGAACCCCGGAAGTTGTTTGTTTGTTTTTCTCCCCGGGGCGGGGGGAGGCTTGGCGATTTTGAGTGGGTGCCGGACCAATGAAAACAAACAAATGCAAGATTTAGAGGGTGGACTCAGAAGGCCCTGGATTTTCAAACCAAGATCCTCAGATCAGAACATTACAGGCATGTCTCCCTTTGTCTGCGCTCACTGTCTACCTGGTTCATGACGGAAGTAGCAGGGGAGTAGTTCAAACGTACTCCAGTGGCTCGGCGAGCACACGCTACCAGCAAGCACGGGCAGCTGCAGACTACAGGGTGCATCTGGACCGCCCGGATGCGAGCAAAATCCAACCGAACTCGACCAAACTCGACCAAACTCGACCAAACTGGACCGAACTCGACCAAATTCGACCAAACTCGACCAAGCCCGACCAAACTCGAGCAAACCCACTGCGGTGATTCGAGATATTCGAAGGGAGATGATTTGTGCCACAGGGCAAAGCACACTCATGCACATATAGCTAGATTTCAAGCGCACTGCGGGCCCGTGGTGCAATGGCCGCCTTGGATGCGTCTTCGTTCTTGGCGCGGGGCTTCAGGACGTTGCTCGACGAGGCTTTGATAAGAACCTACGACCGCCTACCCCTCTCTGAAGTTTCTAAGAACATGTGGGGGCTGGGCGTTGGTTTCCTTCCAAGGACTCCTATGGATCATCTCATCCAGATTCATCAATTCTTGCGGATTCATAAACGGTGGTTCCTCCAAGACTGAAGGGTTGACTCATCCTGGGTCAGCATTTGCAGCAGATGTACCTGCCTGGCGCGCATGACTGCTCTTTCGACAATGGATGTGCACCCCCTCGCTAAATAGGTTTGCCTCCAGTGGAGGCACCAATCCCTTGATGCTTAGTAGGGATGGCCAAAAGCAAGGGTTGATGAATTCCACCGAAAGGGGTTCCACTAAGAATCACGGTTTGTTATCGGTTCCACTGACCAAAGCGACCAATTCAATAGCCTGTGTGACTTTCCTCTGTCGGCTTACCCGCCCACCCCCCCCAGGCTCATTATCTCTTGTGGTGAGGTGTCCTCCTGCAAGAGATAATGCCTCCCTCCACGTGTAGGAACCCCACCCTCAGAGCCGCTGTAGGCTGCATGTGTCTTATGCCCCGCACTCCTGTGAGACGTTGCTGTTGCGTTTTTTTTTCTGGGTCTTGTACCGCCTGAACGACTGCAGTTACATATG